ACATTCCAAAATGCGGCGATGTTTAACAGCGTCAACTAACAACAAACAGAACGAGCGAAAATGTGAAATGAATATGGCGACAACAAAAATCTTAGACAAGGAAACGCGAAGACACAAAAGAATATTTTTAAAATGCCCTGTCTTCCGGGTCGCAGAAGCTTGCCGACGTTTCAGAGGTCCTTGCTGCCCTTATGATGGAGACGGCAAGTTCCTCTAAAACGTTGGTAAGCTTCTGCGACCCACCGCAGTGAAAACGTTTAATTTAAATCTTTGTACATAAAATTTACTACACATTCAAAGAAAATGTGCAACTGGTTATGAAACACGTAAGACGTTTCAGTTCGATGTCTGATTGAGTCAACACCAACTGAGAGTCCTTCTTTATCCTTGAGGCATCACTTACGCTGCAAGCTCCTCCCTCAACAAGGGACAATGACATGTTTCAATAGCTCAGTGACGAGATGCACGTCGGGAATTATAATTCTACGTGGGGAAAACCAACAAACGCTTAAATTACCAATGAGCACGAAGACCCGGTAACCAAATTCAGAGTTGTCTGTATCCGAAATCACTCCTGAAGCAAATTAATTAAAATTTATTTACAAATTATAACGTAAATTTTGCTCAAAGAAGTTAGAGAATTTTGATTCATTGCAGCATGCCTGAAAGTGCCAGATGTTTGAACAATTTATGGCAGAGGCTGTACTAGCGGCGCGTTATGTCGCAGGGGCGAAGGGTCTAGAAGCCAAAGGCATGGGGGGCTGGGGTTAGTTAGGCAATCCCATCTTCCACACCTACCTTAGTGCACTCGTTCAGATCGTAAAAGGGACACCCCCCCCCACACCCCACAAGTACCATTTTAACAAAGATCCCTTCTTCTTCATAAAAGACTATGAAGCCCTTGGTACAGTCTGTACAAGCAACGACACCATCGCACACATTTAGTACCAATGCAACATTACAGAGGGTGCACCAGTTACAAGATTGCGAAATTATCCTTTCCAGATCTGTTGGGAAAGTTTTTGAGCATGGCCAGACTTAAGACTTCCTGGTTTTGCTTAAAATCACAGGCGAATGAAACTTATTTCACATGCTGTTGGACGTTCTACATGCCTGAACATTATTTACCTTACCGTACTTAAGTTAAAACAGTTTTGCACTCGACATCTGGCTTCGAGTAAACATTCCCATGGCTGAAAGGGTTTCTTCGTGCGATTCAAGAAACATGAAACGTAATTCTGGGCCCCTTGACAGACAGACAGACAGACTGACAGACAGACAGACAAGGAAATAATATCGGGAAGGCACTTCAACAGAGAGACCACCAAATAAATCCAAAACGTGAAACCCGTTGAAATACACTACTTCATACAAACACATCAATTAACGTGTAAATGTTCGGTATTTCGGAACTTTTGATGCACAAACGAGACACGCACTCACTCTCAAAGGTGGTTAGGGCCCACCACCACTGCTCTCCTAACCTCGGCCGCACTCTCACACCCCAAATCCTTCAAGATCGACTTTAATACCATCCTTCCATCCGCATCTGGATTTCCCAAAAACTCTTACATCTTTTCCAACAAAAATTATGCATGCGCGCTACATTCCCCGCGCATCTCACCCTAATAATATAATGCAGAATAAACGTCATGAAACCAATCGTCAAACAGCTTCTTCGAACCAAGGCCCTTCATCTCCCGGAAGATCCGGTTTCGATTTCAGGACCGGATCGTCATGTCGGCTGGAGCGTCAAACTAACAACCATTAATTTTCATCCAGTGCCCTGGTTCCCTCTACGGCCGAAACACTTTACTGAAAGTTCCTCCACTGGCTGACACGGAACTTCAAAGAGGAGTTGCACTGCAGTCACGTGCTCAGCCATCGCTGTCGTCACCGCCTCGTTTGTTTGCCAATGAGATAAACAAAACTCAAGGGAAACTGCAGCGCTGCTCAGTCCCAATAAACAAAAGTCACGCATGACGCAGTTTCCGTTCCTGGCTTTTGCTCCGCCCACCCCTTCAAACCCCAGCGGTTACTTTTTGTACCAAAATAAGAAACAAACGAAAACCTTTCAAGTCAATAACGTCCATACTCATTTATAAGAATCATTCGTTTGCGACGACTTGTTTCATGACGAATGCCAGCAACTTACATCCTACATAACCGAGTTACTCCTTTACGGCACGGCCCGAAGTCTCTGTTCCCATTTTACGCGTAATAATTGCTTTATGGATCCGCGGTACAAGAGTTTCTCACTTCCGCCGCTGTAACTGCAGAGCACTGCAGGCTTCACGTCGTCCGCTGGTAATCTTATTACCACTGTAAATCATACGCAGAGACGAAGAAAGCAGTTTAGTTCAGTGAAATGGCAGTCGCTGGAAACAAGATTATTTTCCAACTTCCTTTCCGGATTACATCAGAATCAAATCATAACTTAATTTTGGGCCGTGTTCCATGGTCGGAAAACAGTCACGCTCCCTCGACATGTATTATTCGCCATTTTATTCTCATCTGACTTCCTGGATGAAAGGATTATTGTTAATTCGGCAGAACTCAGCAGAGACTGGTCCATTTCCGAGGCCTCGATTAAGTCAACAAAACACATAAAACGTCGGACACGCGTCTATGCTCCTACGCCCGGTTCTTGCCTCGTGATCTCCCTCAGAGAGCGCGGGGGCCGCGGAACGGAAGGGCAGGGGATCGATTCCAGATAGGGACAGGGATGTTACTGTTCGCTACCACGTCCAGATCGCCTCTGCCCTTCGTCGAACAAAAACCGGGGATTTTCCGATGGGCAAAGCTGACGGAGCGTGAAACTGAGCGCTGACCTCCACCTGGTGCCACTTCCCCACAAGTGCTCTCAAGCTTCATTTACCATAAACTGCTTTGCCCTTAGTTCGGCAGGCGAGGGCGACCTGCAAGTGTTCCTCCTGCCTACGAGTTCCGCTGAAAGCAATGAACGGTCGTTAAGGATAGAAAAAACTCGACCCCGCCACAAATACCTGCGCCCGCTTCTCCCCAACAAAAGACCGTGAAAATTGTTCCTGAATGTAAAATAACCTCCTCGCTCAAGATTCGACAGTTCTGCCAAAAATTCCATGGAGCACAGTCCTTTAAACGTTAACAATCGCTCAGCTGATTAAGAAATTCCCCACCTTTCATTGAATTCCAAGGATCACTGCCGTGTTCACAGGAGCCCAGAACCAGTCCACACCCTCACAATATCCATTTTAATATTATCCTTCCAAGTAGAAGACGCATACACAATTTTGGTCGGAGATGAGGATTAGACAATAACAGGCTCACTAGTTCATAACGTGAATATAATTTCCATTCGGTAAATCGAAGGGACGAAGGTTCAAAGAGTGGGCTTGGGGGAACCAAGATGTTCGAGGACTAGGTCCCTGACGATGGCAGTTCCTGGGCAAACGTGAACACTCCCGGTGACAGGACAGGGTAGTATACCTAAACACAAAAACGTTCTCGACGTATGTCCCTGATCGCCCTGATGACGGGGGCATTAAACACCTCCGAAACGTCTGTATTCCTCTACCAGACGACGCGGCGTTGCAGTCCAAAAGAGCGCCATCTTCAAGTTTCGGAAGTCTCAAGAACAATAGATCTTCCGTCTTCCTCAGTCCCTCCAGGCAAATGAGGGGGTAAGACGGCCGGATAGTATACCTGACAGTCACCTTCGTTTTGAGCTGCGGTGTTACCTTTTAATTGAAACTAAACTGCACGTAAATCAACGTAACAAACAGGCAACAGTGGTCTTTGTACGTGGTCACGCACGACAGGATGTGGGAGGCACTCAACAAGTGTCCTCCACTGATTCCAGTTCCATACCTTGGTCCAGGATGGGGGGGGGGGGGGTTACACAGGCCATCCGACAACCCCTCAATCTAACTTCATGGATGAATCAGATTTCAGAATAGAAACGTAAGTGTTGGCACTAATGTCTGCAGCTCAGACTCAAGGGCACGTAGATTCCTATCCACAACACGAGCGACAGACTTCAACTATTTATTATTTCGTCCATTTGAAAAATAATCTTATTTAGCCTCTGAAGCATAGATTAAACGCTAAGCTGGGCAAAATAACATGGCAAGAGAGTTCAAGGCCAATCACAGAAGCAGGGAGGCTTATGGCAATGGCAACGTCGATACATGAAAGCCAGCCTGTTAAAAGACAATTTAAAGCTTCGATGCTTGTCCAAGTTTGCGCTGGTTCTGGAATTTCAAAGCTTTAAATTACACGCCGCACAGCAAAGCAAGAGAGTTCTCGCTGTCACGTGATCCTTGACAGACGTTCTTACGAAGAAACAAAATTAAACGAAGACGGGAGTCTTCTGAGGTGCTTAGTGCCTCCGTCGTCAGGGTAGCGGTAGAGGCAATGCGCTCAGACTACTCCCCAGAATTCAACAATCTTCAAGAACTCCGCATTTCGCCACCAAGCCCGTGCTGCCTCATTTTCACAGGGATAAGTAGCCGGAGCGTGAAGTTCCACACAATATACAGTCTTCATTCCAACAAATGCCTCGACGGGTCGGTATGAGAAAAGGCGAAGAAGATATTTTAGCCACAATAAAATTATTAGTGCGGAGACTGCCGTAATTTTATAAACCAAAATTAAACTGCGCGTATTGAAAAAAAGTTTTTAATGATGAAAATTCAAAGGAACAAGAAAAATGATGTTGCCAACTCATTCTCTTTGAAGACCTAACCATTTTCATGCTACGAACGAGGCAAGTCGCCTTGAAACCCACCTCTACTGCTCTTACGTGCTTCAACGTGGTAACATGAACCAAATAAAAAAATCTCAAAAAAGCCAAAACACTCACAAGCAAGGATAAAACACCTTGAAATCCCATCTGAACAACAGCCTGTTTCAGCCCAAACACTGTTTCGGCTTCTTTCAAAATCACGTCATTAAACGAGAACAATTTGAACTTTTACACAGCACGCAGGGAGCAAATAGAGAGAATGTAGCCTACTTACGGAACAAGTAGACTTGATAGGTTATGAAGATGCATCCATCTTCTACACACTCTGAAGATCAGCGTTCTCCCATTACTGTGCTGTGCTAACTCGTCCAAGTGGAAGCATTTATCGCCCTGCTTATTAACACGTGTGAAAGCAATCACTTCACAAACACAGCCTCTCCAAGCGTTCTTCTTTCTTTCGCACCAAACACAAAAGAAAAGAACACGTACGTTTCAACTCACAACTTAACTACATCATGACTATGGTTTGTCATTTCCCGTTTTGTTTACTCCAAAAAAAAAATGGACTGCATTACGACGTGAGATAGAGGGCGGGCAGCTTACGAACTCTCGAATCCAATGTGCGCGCAAGTTTCAAGACATTCTAAAACACCCTCACGCAGCGTCTCCTTTCGTTCGACTGGATGTGGCGACTTTTTCCTACGCGATGCAGGGCTTCAGCTGCAGCCTATAGCCATCTGCGCATGCGTACAACGTGTCAAGCTAGACGATTCATTGGTTAAAAACTCCAGCGTGTTTACTACGTGTACTATGCATTCCGAAAACATGCTGGAAAATTTAAAAAAACAAATCTGGTTTTCAAAACAAATATCGAAATGCAAAATACGATATATCGAAACCATATTTGTGTATAAAATTACATCATGAACTCATGTTGACGTTAGAACAATTATATTTCTGTAATATTCAAATCCCACAGAAACATTTCCAAGACTATGGAAAAACACAAAATTCGGCGCCGCTAATACCAAATCTCGCCAATGGACATAGTCCTGAACTAGTTAAGTCCACCTCCGATCCAAGAAATCTATATCTCTACGATTCATTTTAATATTATCTTTCCGTCTCTTTTTCCACCTTCCAAACGGGACTTTCCCACCAGTACCAAAATTCAAAATACACTACTCGTCTCGTCCTTCCTAGCTACACGTCCTGCCCATCTCAACCTAACAAAATAGGAGGCATGTACACGTCACGAAATTCCTCGTTATCTTCTGCTCACTTCTCACGTCCACTGAAAAGCTTCGTCAACAGCTTCCTGACGAAGAAAAGATTTATGGACACGGCCATGAAATCTTAATTTGAAAATCAGGACCTCGCTGTTTTAAAACAGGCAATGGACAAAGTCCAAACGCAGGCCATAACAAGGTCGTGTTGTTCTGCATTCTACAGAAAGTCTTACATCATTTCAGGTCCCTCTTCTTAACTCGCAAATTCATGGTCCGCCATGTTGGAGAAAATTAATAAGCACGATAATGGAGCGATCCGCAGTGGCACAAATTCATACGAAATTTAGGGAAAATCAACAAACTGGTTCAAGAGTTTAAAGTGAACACACAGAACGAGGATCTCGTAAGCTGCCTTACCTTTCTCAATAGAGTGAGGCACACGACGACTTACGGGGCGTATGAGTAAAACTCCACACATTCATAACGCGAGTACTCCATTACAAGCTCCGACCACCTCTACCCCCCCCCCGAGGAAAAGCCCTTCGGAGCCATTGCTTAGGGAACCTTCTCCCCAAATCGAAAACTCACGCAAATATAAGTCTGATGTTTTTGGTACCGGTAGTAGCCCAACAAGTTTCGGTCCAGTGCAGCATTCGGGGGTACGTAGCATTTGTTTGGTCACTGCCAGTTGTGGGATTAAAATTCCCTCTCGGTAAAACGGAATTCCATTGCATAAAAAAGGTACCCCCGCTACGTAATAATTTCCTACAAACCTACAGCTGTATCAGACAGCATTCTGACGAGGGCAACAAACGACCTTGGGTCTCAAGAGAGTCATGGGACCACACGCAGGGGCAAAGTCGGGGTAGCAGACCTTACAGCATTGACCACACGAAGCACGAAACTCGTCTAAGTAACATTTAATATAATTCAGTCCGTACCGCAAAGAAACCACAACTCTTCACCATTACGAAGATCAACTGGTTAACGCTGTTTAAGGAAATTATCGCTGTTTATTCCGAGAATCATAGTTCGTCTGAATTATATTTAAGAATTCAGTCCGTACCGCGAAGAAAACACAACTCCTCACCGTTACATGGATCAACTGGTTAACGCCGTTTAAGGAAATAATCGCTGTTTTACAAAAAGCGTCACAAGAAACATTCTGTGGGCACTATAAAGGCATATTTAATATTAAAGCACGTGGCATGTATAAGTTCCATTGGCATTTAATGCATTAAATTTAAAATTTCCATATCCAATCCACACCTCATAGTCCTATTTGTCATTTTAATATTATCATCGCATCTACCAAAACGTTTTATATATTTCTAGTTCATCCTCCACTGTGAGACATTTTGTAATATGCCGGTTTCTTACGGTTAGAAGTTGACGACATGCCAGACTCGCAACCTGGAGGACTCCCCACCCCAATGGTTAAATGTAAATGCTAATTCAATACATTTGCAGCTATCCTCCAAATTTAGACGTCGTGCGCCATACGAAAGCGACAAGGGATCCACTCAACATCGGGCAGACTCGTGCGAACTCCTCGGTTCCACAAAACAAGGAATATCCTGACTAGCTGAGCAAACTTTTAACTTCTGAAGAAGGACTCTGTTCCAAGGAATGAAACAGTTTCTGTCATTCCCAAATATCTGAGCTTCATCACATTCACAAAGGATTCATTAGGTATGTTTGTGCTGTTTTAAGATTTTGTCCTGCAGTCAGGTGAAGTGATATGAACGTATAACGTGCAGACCAATCACCTCACCAGAATCAGAACTTCACTTTCCAGCAGAGACAATGCATTTATTCACTAATTATTCCCACATAAACCACAGTTTACAAAGTTTCTCTTACGACAGACCATCCACATGGCAAGCAACACTTGATCTCCAGCAACGCCAATTTTGCAAATATTCACAAGACGAGCTGTTCGTCACGTACGAGAAACTCACAAGCGACGCCAAGAACCAAGGACGACAGATAATTCACCCCCAGTCCTCGAAGTCTGAGCTCGTGAAGCTCTTGGCCGTGACGGGTCGTAGGGACGGCGGTAAGTCAGGCCGATCTCGTAAGCCGGGCGGCAACTCCCACAGTTGCTTGCCTTCGGGCTTGAGGTGTGCGGTAGGTTGTCTCTGAGATCGTTTCTGAAGCCAAGAAGCCAAAATGCTTGATGAATCTCCTGCTGGAATACTGTTCTCCACCATTTTCATCTCTTTCTGTCTCTCAGCTTCTTGAACTGAAATATTAATATCCACATTCAGTTTTTGGAGCCCTCTTGAGAACTTCTAAGAGACACAGGTAGCAGGTTCAGTAACTTTACGCGCCACAAATCGTCCCTAGACTGGTATCAGAATATACAGCACAAATGATAGGATGCAAAGGATATAGAAGGAATCATCCTTGGCCTATCCCAGCATCAGCTGGAAGGAATGAGGAAAACGTGAAAAACCTCACACAGGATAGCCAGTCGCCAGACTGAGATTTCAACTCTTTTTGTTTGTCTCTCTGTCTGTCATCAGTCTTCCGACTGGTTTGATGCGGTCCTCCATTTTCGCCTATCTTGCGCCAATCTCTTCATTTCACATTTCAAATGCTTCTATCCTTCTTCTTTCTGACTTTCCCACTGACCGTGTTTCGTTTCCGTACAGCAACTTCCCAAATACAATCAAAAATGTCAAGGTTTTGCAGAATTATTCTGAACAATTCTGAATGTGATTACAACAAGAGTAAGTTTTCTAGAACATGGACCATAGTCTACTTGCAGTTCTCAGAACTCGGCGCAAACAACTTTCAAGAATGAAGACAGGCGCAGACAACTTAACGACAAAAGTTTGCGAGAAAAACCGCGATCAAGGATTTGATATTAACGTACAGAGACACCAAGTTTTAATCAAACACTTTTTTGACAAGTGTTCTTGCCATCCCACACAGTCAAATCCGCTTGCACTCATTTCGGTGTTCGTGAGTGCATCACAACCTCACACAAGCCTAAATACAAACACGACTGCCTCGAAACATTTTTCATTAGTTCCGGACAAGCCAACGCAGACTGCGTCCAGATTTCAATTGGAAAACCCCCAAGAAGAGACGATTTGCAAATCTAGGCACGACAGTTATTAAGACAGATCTTAAATACATACGCCGTAAATGATTAGATTTAGTTTGCTCACCATAGGGTGTGGTTTGTGACAGTAACGTTAATCCTGTGCTGTACTTCTTGATCAGCTGAATAATTAGAAAATTTGTAAAGCAATGCAATACTATACGGTTAATTATTAATAATTACCTCCATGATTATAAATTTACAAACCATATCTACAACTGAATCCAGAAGTCACATTCAATAAATTGTATCTTTCAGCAGAACATTCATAAATAAACAAATGTCCCTTCTCAAAATTTTGAAGGCCTTTCAAAAAATGAAAGATCACGTTGACCAATCTGTGGGGTTTTGAGTGAAGCAACTCTTCCTCTACACAACAGCCAATATTTGGATCATCTACTCACTTTGATGTTCCAAGTCCTGTAATTCTTGATGAGAAAAATGGGTAAATCTGCAGTTGGAACCAAAAACGCATTCTCCATTGCGCAGAAATCTCTTGCACGGTTTCTTAGCAGTTTCTTCAGCTAGTAATGTTTTAGAATCTGCAAGAAGAAACACACAAAACTGAGAATGGCATGCGTAATAATAGCACAAACTAGAATTAGAAAACATTTACATTGCATAACAGAATGTTGCTGCTGAACTGTTAGCACTCCTACTTCATATGTGGGAGGTCCCCCAAGTTCAAATCTTGGCCTAGAGACCAGCTATTCCAGGGTATAAATACAAAGATTACACCTGAAACAATTTTTTTCACACAGCAGATGGGAGATAAACATCTTTATTTACATACCATGATTTCAAAACTAAGTACCAGATTAAATTTTTTTTTGTATCTTTCAGTATCTTTTTCAGCACACTGTTTTATTATGTGTCTAGTAAGGTTCGTACTGAGCATACGAGGCCATGTTTTAAGTCTTTAGTTTGTACAATCTACCTGAATTTGCTCATGCTGAACTGTCAGCTTTATTAGATGAAATGTTTCGGCAAATATCTTCTCACGACCCTGAAAATTCAATTTGAAGTTTAAATGAAGTATGTGTTCTTATTGTGCACATAATAACTTACCCCTGAAAGAGTAGTAATGTTCTTTCTTGAGTCTCATGTGCATTGATCCATTTAGGTGTTTCTTTCTAGCCTCCAAATCATCTATGAATGATCGGTCACAATAGTCGCAGTAATATCTCTTTCCCATCGCTACCGTATTATTAATTCAACGTGAAGGATAAATATTCATGAGATAACTTACAAAAATACAAACCTAAACACTGCCTTACTATACCATCACTAATACCAACCACACTCACGTCACGTCAAGGTTTACACACTGACTCAGAATAACCAACATGGTAAATATACCTCGCTCCCTCAAAATTACCTTTACAACATTCTATGAACGGAAAATACAATATGCATAAAAATAATATACACCAAAAGGCAAAGGTTCTTATGAAGACCCTAAAAAACATGTATAGATCAACTATAAATAAGTATTTGGAATCTAATCCACGCTGATTTTCCGAGTACGAGGTAGATTATTGGTCTACAGCAATATGGCAGACTAGAACGTAGTTAATCGTAATTTAACACAAGATATATATAGCTTACACGAATTATAAATTAAAATGTAAAAATTATTGTATTTTTTACATACACTAAAATGGCCTATTCCTCTATGCATACACCTCCAGTAGGTTGCAAGCCTGGCTGTTGGTGGGTTTTGTATTGGAGTTTTTCTTCTTCTAAATCGGTCATCTTAATGAGTACTAGTCCCACATACTCCTCCATATAACACTGGGGAAGGGGCCCTAACCAGGTGCTACCCAGTGGGACATAAGGGTAAGGGCAGGGTTGACTACTCCCTGGAGAGGGCTGTCTCCAAGAATCTAACCTAACCAATCAACAACTTAGCTTGATTGCTTAGTCTGGAAAGGTAATACAAACTTGCAATGTTAAAAGAAATGAGGTCTCTCAAATTCTACTCATTAAGCCATTAATTATACACAGAGTGGATTTTCCTCATTTTTAGGACCCCTTTTTTTTGTCTGGATGGGCATGTGATAGATTCAAGTTAACATCACCTTCTTATTCTTCTTCTTCTTCTATGGCTCACTGGTCCGCATTCGGTCCATGGCCTCCTCAATTCTTCTCTTCCATTCGGTCCTTCTGTTAGGTCCGTCTGTCCGAGGTTTAGGTTTCGAAACATCTTTCTTTTTACAGTGCAAGGTTGTCAGCCTTGCGACCAACCCCCAACCTGGAGGACCAGGGTACCTGTCTTAGTCTGACCTCTCCCCCTCGACCAATCTGGCTTGGGAGGCCCTACCAGTAGCTATGCTACCGCCAGCATAGCTCTTGGGGTCACTGAGGTACTCAAGCCCCACCACCACGACAAGGTGCAGGTACCATTAAGTGGGGAACAACATCACCTAAGGTGTCTAATATACACAATGTGACCAAAATTCATTTTTCTTTATTTAACAAACACAGTAAAATATGTTGTACACAGGTGAACACAAATCAGAAAATTATTAAAACCTTGCTTTACATGTGAAATAATAAGACAGGTATAAATTCCCACCAGAAAGTGTATTTGATACACAAACAATTCCAATATTATTCTGTATGTACTCAGGATGAAATGGGGGCCCCGATCACACGTGGCTTCAAACACAGAAACTCTAACATTACTTTCAATTCACACACTATCTTCAAATAGAAAGGCCATTTATTGCTATACGCTGTATAGCTGATATGAGAAAAACACTCATCAGGCACGTCATGACAAAAGAATCATGAATTTAACACGCTTTTCAGGCCAACAGTTAAATGTTGTCAAATTACAGATACACTGCCCAACAAACAGGACACTCACAGGAATAATCAATTCAGTCATCTGATTCTGTTTCCTAATGGTAAAACCTTCACAGCTGAAATACTGCATATATCTTCTTCTCAAAGGCATTGAAACTGCAGCCGTGTGAACGGGACCCTAAGCTAATCAACGGTACAAGGTGTCGTATATCTACTGTTAGAACATTAAGTGATGATGTGCCATGTATAATGAGTGAATAAGTAAATATGTATAGACAGAAAAGAAATGGCTGACATGCTACATAGTTCTATGAGCTATAAAGATTAATGTTACAAGAATAATGACTAGAATGTTGTAACTTTTTACTTTATGGTTTTGGCTGGAATGTTATTTTTATAACAATTTAAACAAGAACTGGAAGAGATTTCAAAGAATCTACTTGCTCTCCTCCATACAAATCGATGAAAATTTTTATAATTTCTTCTCTCATCATATGAATAAAATTACCTATCAATTAAATAATATATCCTCTAAGAAATAAGTTAATATTATTATTTATATATCGTGTAAATTTTGGGGTAGTGTACATACTGGCGGAATAAAAGCAGTGAGGGTTACTCTACTGTTCTACAGTATTGAAATTTAACAAAAAAAGACTAGTTAACAATCAAACATTTACTGAAAGTCATAAATGTGTAGGCAGTATTTACTAGAAATTTTCATAATTAAACAATCTGTCAAACAAATGTTGTTCTTTGTCTGTATGTTTTGCTAGTTACTTAGCCTTATTGCATTTGCAAGTAACCATTTTTCAACAGAACAACCTAAAATCACGTGAGTAATATGTTGTCTCCACATCAGTAAAACAAATATCTTCTTGAACAGTAATGACATATATAACACAGTATCTTGAACATAAGCTACACTTTCCTACCTGCAATATGACAGAGTTTTCATACTAGAGAAAAATTACAGCACAACCAAACACTAACTAAAGTTTATGTAATTTGATAATGGGGTAAACAAAATTAATATGTGGCTGACATTTTCAGGTTAAAAGATAATTATTTCTTGTGTTTCATAGTACTGGCTCAGTTAATGCTGATATTCAAAGGAACATAACACTGGTTATGTAGATATTTATGAGCTAAAAGCAGAGGAAAGCAGTCCAACAGAAACTTAAACAATATTAATAAAATAATGCAAATTCTCTTTCTTATACTTTTGGCATTTTACCATTCATAACTTAGTACATATGTTCATAGAAGTCTTCTGCAATCTTTTTTCAAGATACAGGATTATAGATTTATTTATTATTCCTTCCTTCAGTAATGCAATGAATATAGACGTTCCCTTACTGAACCTCCATAAGCGTCATTATGACAATTTTCAGTTAAAAGTAATATCTTTGCACTGTTGAGAAAATCAAGTGTTATTTGATTATTTAAAGATTAAAGAAAATCTTTTACAAAGAACTGCTTAAAATTCAAAATAATACAACAGTATGTTGGAAATCAAATTATATGTTTGTTGGCTTTTAACATGACCAAATTATATTGATGTCAAAATTATCATCCTCAAATTTTGACAGAAATTTAAAATTCTGACAGAAATTAAAGTTTTGGGAACCATTTTATACAAATGTCACACTGGAGCCCACTTCAAATTTGTTTCGATGCATATTGCAACAAACTGAGAACACCAATAACTACAGAACTAATTTTTCACTGCGCTCAGGGCTGCTATCACTTCAAACTAGTACCATCTCACCCCTGAATAAAAATAATTCTCACCCGTGTTAAAGAGCAATACTTGCCAAAGAAGATGCAGATTTCCTTGGAGTGTTGCTGATTTTAATAATTCTTCAATAGAGCATTGGTCTTCAAGGGATTCATGTCAGTAAACATTATTATACTTGGCAGGCATGTAACAGGTAATAGGATCATAATTTTAATGCAATGTGGTAAGTGCAGTTTCTGGAAAAAAGTACTCTGCCCACCGTAATTTATTTTGATTTTAAATGACGCTACAGGAGGAAAGGAGTCTGAGAATGTCATGATGCAATATCAGTGGCACTGAGGACGGAGTCCAAACCCGATGTTTGAACCTTGATGCGTCTGGAAACACCAAATGTCTTAAAACTTGACTAAATCCACATTTCAGATACTGAATGTGGCACTGCACAACCAAAACGGACCAGTGACCTCACAAGTTTTCCAATGAACTCTTGGCAATATCTAAGCGAATCGCTTAGATATTATTAGTCTACTATTATTCACAAGCTAAAATGTAAATTAAAAAGAAAGTAAACAATTCAATATATACAGATGTCATTCAGCAATTCTTGGTAAATTTAAATTCCGTCTTGCCACTTACTTCCAAGTTAAAGGGCATGTTAATGGCGATACGTATAATATCAGAATATAAACGTATATTTTAATTTACTTAAGTATGACTTTCATCTATTACTGACAACAAAATTACAATATTAATTATTGCAGCATCCCCTGCCAAAATTATTCTGATCAGAAGGATATGCATCTTCCAATGCCACTTCTGTCGATCTATCCGATGCCGATCTCATTAAATGCTGGTGGCATGGAATATGAATCATGCTCAAATTAATCTCAAACGTGGTTCACTTATTTTTCTCATCTGAACTTTCACCGCAGATTTCTTAGTACCCCATCTCACTTTAACATTCAATATTTGTAATTTATTGCATAATTTGCATTCCTATTCTTTTATATTTGCATTCTGGTTATTACATTTCTTCTAATTTACCACTCATAAAACTGTGCAACTCTTACGCCAAATCTTGCACTGTTTACTACAAACATATCTTTAGAAAGAAAACCACTTAAACAAACAATGTGTAACGCAGGTATTTGAATTTCATAAATAATTTGAGAAACACTGATTGATTAATTAACTGTTTTTCATAATTCAGAAAATCATGCTACAAAAGTTTGATCCTTCATGTTGAAAACATGCCAATGTTCAGAAAGTGATGTAATTGTGTTTGTACCTGAATGCTGACTCTCAAATCCATGTACTATTTATTTAACCTGTAAATCTTAATAACAATATTAAACATCCATTTTCATCAAACATTAAGTAAGGTCTGAAGTTTTCACAGCGGTGAGTCTGAAGATTTCTGTCTTCTGGGTTGTTGCGCTGCGTAGTCTGGTCAATGTTTACAAACGTTTCTGAGGTCATACTGCCTCCGTCTTCAGGGTGATGTATATGCCAATCAGGTCGGTGGGGGCTAGGTTTATAGGGGCCGGACCATGAATGGAGTATCCTGCTCCGAGCAGGTGTCAAATCAGGCGTGGGTGTGGACCAAAGGGAGCGCGGGGGATAGTGTGAGAGATGGAGGCAGTATGACCTCTGAAACATTGACCAGACTACGCAGCGCAACAACCCAGAAGACAGAAATCTTCAGACATTAAGTACTTTCTTTCTGACATTAATTACGCAGTTTACTTACTGTTCAGATCAGTGGTCAAATTTGGTGTTTGGTGCCAAACACATGTATAAATAACAAAAACATATTTACCTTTAACAGTGACTTGAACTATAATATAATAAATGTTAGATCTGATTCATAAACATAGTCCGAGGACCATTAATTTTCTGGCACTGCCAATTCTAATGCGTTTATCTTCGTAAATTTTATACATATATAAAGAGAGAACTAATAACTGTAACAAATGGCCTAGCCTATGTATATCATGACATTAGCATTGGAAGACAATGCTTCAACAGGTTCAGGCATCGAGTTGGGGCTGCAACATGACGTGGAGACCGCTCATTGACCTGCTGCCATTTCTTCCCCATGTTCGCCATCTTTAGGCGTCCCTTCTTTGCGGACCTTGTGCCCACGGAATGATGCTTGGATTTTGGTGGCAGCTTTGTGCAGATCAGGGTCAGTGAGGTCTATGTCAGCTAATTCATCATCAACCTAAGAGGAAAACAGAGCACAGTAATTACTGGGTATGATTTCTCAGTAAAATATGGCACATCACACACGCACAAGGACTGAGCGATTAATCAGGTGGACATTTCGATTCTTTCACTCTTATTTACGTTACACTTTAAGAAAATTGAAAGAAGCAGTGGAGGAAGAGATGTTACACAGGTATTAAAGAGAACATGTCCAGTAACAGCGTCGGGGGAAGGAAAAGGTTTCAACAGCAGATCAAAGCACAACGGATTCACTTCAACACTTTATTTTTGCAATTGCAAAATTCGTTTCACATGAACATAAAACTTATGAATGCACCTCGTCTATTACATTCATTTTGATTTTCTTACTTGTCAAGTAATCAAAACCTATAAGTGAGAAATTATGATATTCTGATAGTTCATTAAAGAAGCCATGCACAAATAAAAAACTAATTATGCTAAGGGGTGGTGTGGGCACAGTGTACATGATCTCAGTCCTACACATGCCCATTCTCTGACGACGTTTCAAAGAGCACATCAGGGCCAAGGAAATGTTCAAACACGTTTGAGAAAAATTAACTCGTCTTTCTTTGTTACGGTTTCATTTCAAACGTTTAAGTTTGTGAGACTTCGGTGTTGCTATATAACAAAACTGACTCCTGCCTTTAAGACACAAAGACCT